GGGGGGGGGGGTATGCGTGCTCCCACCCGCATCCTTGCGCTTGTTGCGCGACAGCTGCAGCACGGAGCCCGCGGACTGAGAGCGCAGCTCGAGCAGCAGCGCGTCCAGGGCCCCGGGCCGCTCGCCGCTCACGCTCGCGTAGAACTCCCACTGGTCGGGCGCGTGGCGGCACGGGCGAGACTCGATGTGGCGCAGGTTCAATCCCTTCTCCTGGCAGGGGCAGACGTGGTGGGAGAGACGGCAACACGGGGTGTGTATCTGGTGTTGGGGCCGAGTGGGGGTCTATTGGGAGCTGGGGTGCGTCCCGCAGGGGTCCATCCTCGGTGCCTGGCCCGCTCGTCTCAACGTATTTCCTCCCACTTTGACATATAATTCCCAGTTATGTCGACTATAATCATATTCTGATGACCAACAGCGATGCAACTTCCATTGACTCCACATCTCGACTCGACCACTGCAACCCTCTCCTATATGGCTCCCCCAACCCATCAACTCCAGATAACCCAACAAGTCGCCGACAGACTTCTCACCGCGTCTCCACCATTCTCGGGTCGCTCTACTGGCTCCCACTCTGCATCAACTTTGAGATCATTAATGGAATCGCCCCTTCCAACCTCTCCCCTCTCAATCTCTCTCATCTCCCCTCCGCACTCTCTGACATATGTCCTCGCATCTCTCTCTACTCCCCTCGGCACACACTCCACTCCAGCAAACCGACGCTCTCTGTCCAAGCTCCCAGTCAAGCTTCGCTCAGTGGAGGGTCGCTCATTTTCCTCTGCTGCCTCCCATGGTCTGAAGCTCCCTTCCCTCAGCCTCGCTGCTGTCGACTGCTTGCCTATGCGACGTCTTTAAAATGAACACTGCCACTCTTTCCTAGCACTTCTGGAGATGTGGTCGCATCTCCAGAAGACGCTCTATGAATCCACGTCATATTGCACGATTGTGCTGTTTTTAGGGGTTTATTAGGGCTCTGTTTGGGGTCTGTAAGGGGGCGTTTTAGGGGCGCTTTGCCGCTACGGCCGCGCGTCTCCCAGGGCGCGTCCGGCAGGTACCATGTTGACGTCACCACTGCACGCGCGTGGGCGTCTAATTGCCTTTAATTGCCTTTAATTGCCTTGTATTGTTTAGCGTGCATCTCGCAATTGACGCGATCCCAGCCACAGCGATCAGAGACGGGGTTCTTTGTGACCCGAGAAACCTCTTAAAGGCAGAGGATGAATTAGAATGTCAAAGAGCCATGCACGCGGTGCGCCTTGCGCCGTGTGCGCTTGTGTCCGTAGACAGTTCCCGTGTACCCCGGCAGCGTGCTCATGACCAGATCCGGAATTGGAGCAGAGGTTCCACTTCATCGACTGCGTAACGCTGTGCGGAAGATATCCGGCTCTGTCGCTCCATACGAAGCTTCGGGCCTTCTCGGCCACAGCCGTGCCCTCCCTTCTCGATGCTGCTCCGGTTTGAAACATTCGGGCTGACTTGTCTGAGGAGCTCACAGATCCTGGAAAGATCCTCCGGCAGGCGAGGTTGCTTTGCTTGGGGCATGTAGCCCGCATTCACAGCCACCGCATGCCCCCAAGTAGCTTCTGTATGGCCGGATAGAGGGAGCTAAACGTGGGTGGCAACGGCTCGAGAATGAATGTGCCGATGCGGTCAGGGATTACTTGGAGTTGGTTATATTTGCTAACGACTGCTACCAGTGCCATCAACACCGCCCTCTATGGGGGAGGCTCGTAGAGAACGCTACTAGACAGTTGGAGGCAGTCGCCCTCCAACAGCAGTGTAGGGTAGAGGAGCGACGCTCACACCAACGACCGGAGCGTCGGGCGTATAAAACGCAGCTCGTCGGTACAATGGGAAGCACAGGTTGTGCCTCTGCCAGTCATCTCAGTCAGGCAACCCATGGGACCTGGGTCTGTCCCGTGACTTCTTATCAGCGGGCCTTCCACACTTCCCTTCTTTGTATTTTAACTGTCCGTGTGCGGCGTGCGGGGTGTGTGTGTCGTGTCAACAGCGCAGGGTTTCTGTGGTTCATCTGGCAGTCACCCCGGTCTGGGCATTAGTAACACGTACGCCTCTTCCATGACTTTCTACCCGCGAGCTTTTGCCACCTGCCGTGGCCTCAAAAGGGCACCTATCCTGGCACAAGCTACGTTATGATATCAACCACAACTTCGCGCCGAATGGCGGCTATCGTTGAAGAGTGCGTGTGTGAGTGCAGGGGAGCAGTGGCGCAATGATTAGCGCACTGCGCTATGAACCCGGCGACCCGACTTCGATTCCCGCTCACGATAAACGACCGCGGCGAATGTATTAACCTGTCGTGGGCGTCTCCTGGTCGGTGTGTACTCGGACGAGTACCTGGTGTGGTGTGTAAATATCGCCACTTGTGATCCAAAGGCGGTCGGGCGCGGTGTTGACCACCACCCCCCCATCCTGTGCCCTGCCGCCCTTCATAGGTGCGCTCGCTAACAGCACTTGTCCCAACAGTCTGGTAAGGCTACACGGGGGATATTTGTAATTTGTTTGAGTGGGGAGCGGTGGGAGAGTGGCTAGCACAGTTGCGAGGCGAAACTCGGCCACTTGCGCTCGATTTTTTATTACGGGAAACATCGACAATGGATAATATCTAAACCGGTGCTGATCCTCCCCTAGGTCGACTCAGCTTTAAATTAGTACCTGGAGCTTCTTCAGGAACAGATTGGAATCGGGGTGGGCTGGGCGTGGAGGGGGTGCAGGTGACAATGGTCCAGTCTCTTCAGTTCGGACTTTACCGACCAGCACTGATGAGCGCAGTGCAGCATGGGCACGGCCTGCATGGCGCGTGTAATAGCATGTTTAATAGGATGTTTAATAGAATGAACTCAGCCATACACTCACAGACGTCCGCGTGGTAGGCGGTAAGTGCGCATACAATATGTGTATGTTTTATAGGGAGGGACAGATGCGTGAATGAGTTGATAAGCAGCAGCTGCCCCCGTTCGTATTGTTCGCGCACTTCGTGCCGCAGCCTCCCGGAGCGCAGACCCGGGACCCCACGGGGTGGCGCCGCCTCGCGGCCCGCGTCGGGAACTCCCCGACTCCAGGCCCCCAAATCTCCTGGCAAGGATCTCGTCGTCTTGCGTCAGCCCCGGGAACGTGAGCGCCACGTTTTGGCGTCAAGCACACGAATACACAACATGTAACACGTGACATACTCACACACACCTCCATAATACACAACATGTAACATGTGACTCACTCACACACACCTCCATAATACACAACATGTAACACGTGACATACTCACACACACCTCCATAATACACAACATGTAACATGTGACTCACTCACACACACCTCCACAATACACAACATGTAACATGTGACTCACTCACACACACCTCCATAATACACAACATGTAACATGTGACATACTCACACACACCTCCATAATACACAACATGTAACATGTGACTCACTCACACACACCTCCATAATACACAACATGTAACATGTGACTCACTCACACACACCTCCATAATACACAACATGTAACATGTGACTCACTCACACACACCTCCATAATACACAACATGTAACATGTGACATACTCACACACACCTCCATAATACACAACATGTAACACGTGACATACTCACACACACCTCCATAATACACATGTAACATGTGACTCACTCACACACACCTCCATAATACACAACATGTAACATGTGACTCACTCACACACACCTCCATAATACACAACATGTAACATGTGACATACTCACACACACCTCCATAATACACAACATGTAACATGTGACTCACTCACACACACCTCCATAATACACAACATGTAACACGTGACATACTCACACACACCTCCATAATACACAACATGTAACATGTGACTCACTCACACACACCTCCATAATACACAACATGTAACACGTGACATACTCACACACACCTCCATAATACACAACATGTAACATGTGACTCACTCACACACACCTCCATAATACACAACATGTAACATGTGACTCACTCACACACACCTCCATAATACACAACATGTAACATGTGACATACTCACACACACCTCCATAATACACAACATGTAACATGTGACTCACTCACACACACCTCCATAATACACAACATGTAACATGTGACTCACTCACACACACCTCCATAATACACAACATGTAACATGTGACTCACTCACACACACCTCCATAATACACAACATGTAACATGTGACATACTCACACACACCTCCATAATACACAACATGTAACACGTGACATACTCACACACACCTCCATAATACACATGTAACATGTGACTCACTCACACACACCTCCATAATACACAACATGTAACATGTGACTCACTCACACACACCTCCATAATACACAACATGTAACATGTGACATACTCACACACACCTCCATAATACACAACATGTAACATGTGACTCACTCACACACACCTCCATAATACACAACATGTAACACGTGACATACTCACACACACCTCCATAATACACAACATGTAACATGTGACTCACTCACACACACCTCCATAATACACAACATGTAACATGTGACTCACTCACACACACCTCCATAATACACAACATGTAACATGTGACATACTCACACACACCTCCATAATACACAACATGTAACACGTGACATACTCACACACACCTCCATAATACACAACATGTAACATGTGACTCACTCACACACACCTCCATAATACACAACATGTAACATGTGACTCACTCACACACACCTCCATAATACACAACATGTAACATGTGACTCACTCACACACACCTCCATAATACACAACATGTAACATGTGACATACTCACACACACCTCCATAATACACAACATGTAACACGTGACATACTCACACACACCTCCATAATACACAACATGTAACATGTGACTCACTCACACACAACTCCATAATACACAACATGTAACATGTGACTCACTCACACACACCTCCATAATACACAACATGTAACATGTGACTCACTCACACACACCTCCATAATACACAACATGTAACATGTGACATACTCACACACACCTCCATAATACACAACATGTAACACGTGACATACTCACACACACCTCCATAATACACAACATGTAACATGTGACTCACTCACACACACCTCAATAATACACAACATGTAACATGTGACTCACT